CCTAATATAACTTATCTCATTGTAAACCTATAAATTTGCATTTTGGATTTACATATTAGATTTATGAAGTGATAAGATCAATTTAATTCTCTCTGGGATATTTAATGACTAGATCAGGTTTGCAAGAGTACAAAACTGAGAGTCAGACACTATTATATTCACTGTTATACCACCCAATGTGGTCTCCTAAATAACAGCAGCAGATCTGTCCCAGTCAACAGCCTTCATAAAAACAAGAAATTGATTTATATTCTATATAGCATCTCAAAAAAGCCACTTTCTTTGATGTAAGTTGTGTCACTCATTACCAACCACTCAATGTATGATAGCTCCAAACAACTGTTTCATATAAAGGTAGTGGGTTATGGAGTCAGATGGCTAGAATGCAAATCATAGTTCCACCACGGAATGTTGCACTCCACAATAAGTGTGTGACATTCAGCAAAAATCTATGTGCCCAATCTCTTCATCTGTACATGAGAACTGGGTGAAAGGTGCAACGAATAGTGCCTACTTCAAATTTACACATGTAAAGCACTAGGAACCCTAGAAATACTCAACAAGTGTTAGCTGTCATTATGACTCTTAAGCACAAAATCTAACTCGTGTTTTCTTGTATTTTGTGCAAACTTGAAATGATTTAATATTCATTTTGTATGCAAAATATGAAAGTACTCATATTACCCCAATTGAAGAATTCATCAAGGACCCATTTGAAAGCTGGCTGGGGAGATTTATACTCTTTTTTTAAGTTACTGCTGCATGGCTTTAGCAAACTTTCGATTCTTTGCTACCTGGAGTTATAAATGTCTTGAATTATAAACATCTCCTACAATATGCTGCAGTTCTACATAGAGATGCAAAGGAAATAAAACCACAGAGCTAGCTTCCCAAACCCAAAATTCGCCTCCTCATGTTACTCCTGTACTCTGTTTTTTCTAGAGCTTCCCTATATTTTTGGAGCCTAGAAACTCAGTCTACTCTAACAGAATTTAAATCTGAATCCCGTCTCAAGAAAGCCTGTTGAAACAAGGGATAGTCAGCCTGATTACTCTATACATGTGTGTGTCCTTCCCAGTTGAAATTATCATACCCTCTCATTTTCCTAAGTATACATTACATCTTTAATATGTCCTTGTTCACAAATAACTATTTTCCTCTAACATGTGTCTACTTTTCTCTGCTACTCATATACTTCTTTTCATTTCTGTTTTATTTACCCACCTTCCATCAGCACAACTCTTTTTTTTTTTTTTTAATGTTGCTTCTGGAGGTCACATTTTCATTCTCAATACCCCTCCAACCACACTCAGTTCACAACCAATTCTTCAACTCCTCGGTCACTCTTTATGCTCTGCCCCATTTATTAGAGTCAATTCCCTTTGTTCTAAATTTAGCTCACTGCTCTGTAGTTTAAGCTAATAGAAATCCACTTCTCTCTTCACACAAGATAGCTTTTTCAACATAACTACTTACTCCTATTTTCTCTTCTTCCTTTAAATCAATGAAAATAAGTGAGGAAAAGTCTTCTCCTTGTTCCTAAATGCAATATTCAAATAATGACACTGTGGTCTACTTACTGTCTGAAATCTTCAATTTATCTTACATTTCAAAGAGATATTTTCAAATTCTACTTGTACACACTCATGTTTAAAATCTCCTCTGATCAGTAAAGGTGATTCATTAAGAGTCCATAATTCCATTTCTGTCAATGTTATTATGTATGTAGTTGGAGCATATTATATGAACCATAAAAATTAAACATATTAATGATGGTCACAAGGTTAACAACGGCATAAATTTAATAAAATACTTAATGATATCTGTCCTCGTAAAATAACTTAATTTTCCATAGTACTCTTAAAGTCAAATTCTATAAAGTTATATAGTCATTAGAAATAAGTTAACTACTATCATAGACATGAATCATTATATATTTTCAAAATAAAGCATAGCCACATAAAGTTAGAAGCCCTATGATGAATTTAAAGCTATTTGTGACAGTTGATCAAGCTATTTTGATCTTCTAGAAAGAGAATTCTACAGCTCCCAAAGCAGAAAACTCCAAATCTAATACCCTCAATTTTAAATCTAAATCTCCTTAAATTCAAATTTCCTTGATCTCCTTAATTTCATATCTAATTTCTCCAACTACTCTTCCTTTGGAGATGAAGAAGAAACAGACGCCATCCTCAATAAGACAGTATCACACCTACTAGAAAAGCACTGTCACCCCTTAATTTTCACTTTTTTATTCTCAATGACTTTGATTATTTTTCAAATTCCTATTCTCCAAAATTTCTTAACTTTCTTACTTCTATTCACATTTTTTTCCATCAAATAAACTAGACTTAGATTTAACCAGCTCACAATAAATAAATAAATAATTAAAAGAACAGAACAATGTAGTACACATACAGGCTTTTCAAACATTAGAATTGAGACCCAAGCTTTGATAAACTGCAAATGTACAAAACTTTTCAGAGTCTATCCTTATCTTTTCACAAACAGTGATTTTATGGTTATAATTGGCAAACTAAGAAAACACATTAGCAAAAATGAATTGCGAATTATTACTTACTTGATCTGTCTTTGGTAAGATTTGTTTCCTGGACTGCAGAAAGGAAAATGGTTATTTCTTCTGCTTTCAAAGGTACTGTGGGCAACATAAAAAATAAGGAAAAGGTTTACATAACAATTTTAGTAACACATGAGAGAAAGTAGAATCTGTTTACAAATTTCAGATGAAGATGTCCAAAGCTTAAAAAAAAAACAAAACCAGCTATTCCCGGGGTACCCCAGCTGCACCAGAAAGTGCATCCCAATCAGCTTTCCAACACCTGCCAGCAGACATGGCCACAGCCTGGGCCTAGAAGTGGCATATCCTACATCAGTTACACTCAGACACCTCCAGATACCCTCAGGTGAGCACCCTGAAACCCACATCAGGTCCAAAGTCCTCAGCAAAACACAGAGGCCTGAGTGCATCCCACTAAACTTGCCAGTGCCTCCCAGCAGAACAGGAAACAGCATGGGCCACTCAGTGCCTTACCCTATATTGAAGAACCTCAGCTACCCCTAGGAATCTTCAGCAACACCTTACCCTCCTAGTAGTCATCAGGAATAGGGCCTGAGCCATTGATCCTGAAAAGGTGACATCCCAACAACTCAGAATCTAGACTTAGCGTTCATCCTTCTGTCCCAGCCACCAGCACACTACCACCAGGGAGACAATTGGAGGAGACTCTAGTACTCCCACAGATTCCACAAGTATACAGTAGTTTTACCAGAACAGCAGTGGGAAAGGATTAAAACACAACAAAAGCCCAACTACAGGACAGCAAACCCAAGGCAAATGATGGGAAGAAGGAAAAATACAGATGATCAAAGAAGCCCTCAAGGGAACAATACTACAGAGAAAAAAATCAAACTCCAGAACCCCCTCCCCCGAAAAAAACTACCTATCAGATGAAAAACTCAAAATTGCCATAATTAAGAAAGTGAAAGAACTTGAACAGAGTCAGAAAAATGAATCAGAGCTATATGTTAACATGAAAAAAGGACACATTGAAACATAATCAGGGAACAAAAGAATAAGCTTGAAAATTTAAATGAAACATAAAGGAACTGAAGGATGTTTAAAGATCAGTGGTGGACTATGGTGATGGCACATGGGTTACTTGGTGGTGGGAAGCCAGCCTATGGGGATTACAACTGAGATGGGAAAAGGTGCAAAATGATGTAAAAATAAACTATTATATTATTTTTTAAAAATAAAATAAATTGAGGCCTTCAACCAGAGTAATTGCAAAATACCAAAAAAAAAAAAAACAAAAAAAAACCCTGTATGTGATAGTGCTAAGTTTCATACAAATATTATTTTTAACACTGTCAAGTTTTAGTTTCAAACCTTGTTCCACATGAAAAGGTAAAATCAATGATTATTGCAATCGATTACACTACAAGATTTGTATATTTAAATTTTTGCAACAGTATAACTTGAGATAAGAAATTCTGGCTAAAGTAACTTGAGAAACAATTTTAGCATTTGATACCTAAACCAAACCTTAATAAATATCTGTGGCTTATTTAAAAAGAAAAATGAAAAAGGGAGGAGCTAAAATAATACTAGAATGAGGGCCTTGCCAGGGGGTTAAGTCTTAGTGCTATCACTGATACAGGTGCCTTATATACCCAGCCAGGGAACAAACCCACATATGGCACAGCAGACTTCTCCTGTGTTGCCCAGTTCTCCCCTAAGCAGTTTATTTCAGTGAAATCTACATGCTCTGATCACCACTCGATCTCTGGTGAATCCTAGCACCCTCTGCACCTCTGTCCTGCACCCCAGTTCTTTTATGCAAGTTTAAAATATATATACTATAGTGCACCATGAAAACAGAGTAGGTAATATGGAAAAACAAATCAGTACTCTTGAAGATAAAGATGGAAATAACCAAGAAAGAAAAGGAAAAACAACGGGAGAAGAATGAAGAAATAATGTCAAGAATTATCTGACACCATGAGGAAAGTAAATTTAATAGTCATAGGAATTCCAAAACGAGAAAAGGGAGATGAAGCTGAAAAACTATATAAGGAAATAACTGAAAAAAACATCCAGAACTTGAAGAAGGAAATAAATGAAAATAAACATTAAGGGAAGCTAAAAGGATGCCAAAACATCGTAAGGAATGGAAAATTACAACAAGACTCAGAGTAGGAAAGCTTCTAAGAATCCAAGACAAACAAAAAATAATGAAGCTGAGGAAGAAGAAAATAATAACCTACAAAGGAATACGAGTGAGGCTAACCTCAAACTTCTCTGAAGAAACGTTATGGGCAAGAAGAGATAGCAGTGATATATTTTTAAAAAATCCAAAACAGAAATGTCAGCCAAGAATATTTAATCCTGAAAAAGCTTCCTTCCTATATGAGGAAAAAATAAGGACCTCTCAAAAAAACAAGATCTTCATAAATTCACTACTACAAAGCACTACTACCAGTCCAAGTAAAGCCTCAGGATTTAAATCAAGGGAGGAGTGAACATGCACAATTGAACAACTTACTGAATAAAATCACAAAACGATGAACAAAATGGCCATAGCAGACTTCCATGTATCAATACTCACCCTAAACATGAATGGACAAAACTCACCAATAAAAATCATAGAGTACAGGGAAACTGCCTGAGGCTGCAGCTGTGGCTGCTCAGCAGCCTTTTGTCCCAGCCCTGCTGCAAACCTGGAGATAAACTGAGACAATTCAGCTAGGGAGAGGAAACCAAATTGTGGGAAAAGGCTGCAGCTCGGAACCAGAGACCCGCCTCAGAAGTGTTGCTGACCTTTGCCCCAGCAGCCACAGATGTGTTGCTATCCTTTGCCCCAGCAGCCCCTATAAAGCCCTGGATATAAACTG